AAATTGTCTCCTCAGGTATGTGTGAAATGCGCTATATGTTGGGCAGATTAACCCAAGATGTTACTTTTCCCTGCTTTACCAATCCATCTCCTGCCCTTTATGAGTTTCACAGCTGACAGGAGCAGGCCCTTCAAGGCAGATACAGCTGTCACTTTTGACGTATACCCATTTTTAACTTATCCTTCCACTGGCTACAGTCCTGAGGGTGACTGACCTAAGTACCTCCCCTTTCCTCCCCACATGCCCATATGGACTTGTGAGCTGCTGAAACTTTCTGGATATGAAGAGAAAAAAGTGACCTTTCATTCTGCTTTAGATCCTGGTTTCAACAATACTCATGGGTACCTAATGAAGAAATGTCCTAAATTTTAAGTTTCTAGTTCATTGGAAATGTAAAAATGAACTGTACCAGTTTCAGAGTGATGTTACACAACACTGTACATAGCAGATACTCTCTTGGAGCCTCAGCTGAACCCCCTTCTCTGCTCTACACAACTTCAGACAGAGGATAAAATCCGACTCTGACATGGCCATGGCACCAACTCCTGGAGAAAGCGGCAGGGATGCACTGCTCTGGAGGGTGTGTTCTGTGGTGTGCCACCTTCAGAGGACATGGCATTACTGGGGTTCAAAAGCAAGCAGAAGCTACAGCTACTCATAGCTCTGCTCCTGCTTTAAGTGCCCCACTGTGTTTGTAGGCAGTTATATTTTAAATTGCTACAGAGAACACAGGCAAATCCCCACCAGACTGTTTATAACCGAACATTTAAAGCAAGAAGTTTACATGATAGCGGTGTTGATTTTTTTCAATTACATTTTTCCTTATTTCTTGTTATCTTTAATGACTACTGGTCAACCGAATTCTACAGTTTTGTGTTTATTCTACGACACCCTCAATGTGAAATCTGTTGTGCAGTGAGCACACTCCTCTGAGATCTGAGCAGCTCTGCAGAGAGATGCAGCTGTGGCTGTACTGAGAACCTGCACACCATCTTCCTAATCTCAAAATTTCAGACTTGAAGGTCAAGTCACAGTCGGTGCTTGCACGGGACAGAGTTCAGTCAATCAGATTACCCTTCATAATCCTACAGATGCTTCACTTTAAATTGTCTTTGACAGTCTGGCTGTCATTGTAAAACTTTGGGGACTGCATTCCCTACTGTAATATTGCTTCTGCTTTGTGAGATGCCTTCACTCGATACAGATATTTCCTTGGAGCCTAACCTTTATGACTATGTTTGGAGATAATGTCCTTTTGAAAAAAGCATGCAGTCTTTGGAACAAACAGGTCTTTTGTAAAGTTTCACCATTTTGATCCTGAATGGAGTTTCTCCCTCCTCATTTTCCCTCAGGAGATTTTCTTCTAAATGGACATAAAGTCATTCTAGTCTGAAATACAGCTTATCACCCTGGGAATAAGAAAAACATATTTCTTAACTCAAAAACATGTCTCTAAATACACGGTTGAACAGGCTAAAGCTTACTGTTAGCTCTCAGAAGAAAATGTTCTTCTGTTTATGAGAACAAAATTTTGTATCTATCTGTGAAGGAATACAGAATATTTTAGCATCAAGGGACAAGAAGTGTGGGGAGCTTATGAATTTTGCATGACATAAGTGTTGCTATCTGTATGCTTGAGAGGCCACTAGATGATTAAATTGGATATAGTTTTGTTGTGCAAGGAAGGATATAGATCCACATGCTCAGTGGTTATAGAACTATAGGGTAAGTGAACAAACAGATGGTAACTTACAGAATAACTATTAATCCCTCTGCTTCCCCTTACTCTGCAGCTGAAGAGATCTGAGCAGGGTTTCCACTTCTAGAACAAAATATAAGGCCCATCACAAAATAATCTGAATGGGGAATGAAAGCGGATGTGTCGGCAGAGTGAAATTTGGCACAAAACAGGTTACTCAGGCAAAGTAGGAGCTGAGGTGCCCTCTTTCCCCTACCTTATATTTACAGCTGGGAAAGGTCATGTACCAGCCAGCTCTGAAGAGAGAAATACTTCATATGATGGGTTACAGATCTTGGAAACATAGGAACATACAGATTTAGCATCTGTACTAAAGGCCTATGGAATACTCAAGGTCACTGACTCACATGTCTGTACATCGCTGGAGGAAGGTACAGAATATTCCAGAACAATCTGGAGTCTCTGAAGAAAATCCTCAGATGTGTAATTGTCTTTAGATAAGCCTAAACTTTTGGAAGAGAGGTACACCCCCATCTGAACCGGTTGAAAAAAGCATCAAAGGAAGAGAACTGCACACACTGACCAGCCTGATACAGGAAAAGAGGTCACTCCTATTTAACCCAAGCACTAACACAGAGCCATGATACACAGTTTCTGGAGCAGAGAACTGACAAGCTTGCTGAATGGCCTGGCCAAGAGCCCAAAAGTCTGATAGCAAGCTCAGTGCGTGTATAGACTGTTCAGTGGTTTACAGTCTGTTTATTTCTGCAATGACTTTTGTTTTTGGATAAGTTCTATTTAAGCCTCTGAAATTCAGGGTCACTGGCAAATGCTGCTGTTGTCCCAGAGACAATGAAATGACAGGTGTCACACAGTCCCAAGTGACCATGTAAACACCCTCTCGGGAGGGAGGCATCACTCCCAGGTGATGTGAGGATTGACCTTTAAAGATGTGCTCCTAGGAGGCTAAAAAAGGGAGAGGAATGGAAAGGCAGCTGGCTGAGGCAGCCCACATCAACCCTCTGTGAGACAGTCTGTCCATCAGTTCTCTGACATTAGTACAGACAGGTAAAGAGTCTTGGCTTCCCTTTGCTCTCACTGGAGGAAAGCTCTTCAAACCCAGATGCAATTGTGCATCAGCATGTGGAAATGTGCTCTGATGTTACTGCCTCTCAGCTAAGCAGACTTTCTATACTCCACACACAGCACCATGGAATTGACTTTTTAAACTGCAATAAACTGCTAGATTTGAAATATGCAAATCCAGATTTATCTCTCCCCTCAATGGTATGCTATCAGCAAACACAACTGGCTAAAAAAAAGACAACTCTCCACTCCCTTGAGCAAGCTGGATGGATGGATTTAAGTACCACACATATGTGTGAAAACTTTTAACTACTTTATGAGAAGATAACAAAGTAAGCAGAGGAGATGGAAGGAAAAGCCTAAAACCAATAATTGTTAAGCTATCAACCTAGGGGCCGCCATTACTGACTTTCTCTGCAGAAACTTAAGTCACTGTTTTTCAGTATGCAATAAAAAAACCTCTGGAAATTGTTAACAGAAGATATTTTTAGCATCAGAGGCATCAGTGTGTACTGTAGAATTTGGGGAAGCCTGGAGGCCCCAGTAGCAAATTTCTACTTACTCAGATGCTAATCACATTGACAGAAAGCTGAATCATCCATTTAATAAAATTACAACTTCACTAGAGTTGAATTTAGAATAGCTGCAGAAGAAAAGAGTCCCCAGTTTTTTGCTATATGGTTTGCTTGGTATATAGCTTTCATTTCAGGCACTGGAAAGGTTTGATTATTTTTTTCTCTCACTTGCATTATAGGAGAGAAAGAGAGAACAAATGTAAATGGAGTTAGATCAAACAAAAGGCCTGTTTCTCAGCAGAGAGTGGGCCCTCATGTAAGCTTGGCTCAGGAGTGCTCTCCTACAGTGTTTGCAGAAGAGTGGGCTGTGGGTAGGTGTTTTGCATCTTTTGCAGAAGAAGAGATGTTTCTTACCTTTTACAGTATGAATTTCCCTAAAGAGAGCACTCACCATATTGCCTAAAAATACAGTGTACAATGCAGTGCTGCATATTAATATCACAACCGTACCAGTTGTCAGAGTTACAGACCAGCATCACCTTGTGCTGTGTTCTCTTGAGCACCTCTTTCCTTTCCCTGTAAGCAGCAGCTCTGGCATCTGGCTGCCCCCACAGACTGACCCTCAGTGATATACCTCAAGGCTTGACAGGAACTGAATACTTTGAGAAGGAACTCAATGAATATATTTTTTGTATTTCCCAGGGTTTATTACAGTGAGGTCAGTTTGCTGGTAGTTTACAATATAACATTTCTAAGAGATATGCTAATGCTTCATGAAATTTAAATGTTACTTTTGATCTATTCCATAATATAAACCCACAGTTAAATTTATGAAGTGGCAATAATCAGAGGGTTTTTCAGTCCTAATGTAAGTGAATTCCCAAATGCCTACGAATAACCAAGCAGCATGGATTTGGTTCCACACCAACACCAGCTCTGCTGTGAGCCCAGGCAGCAGGCATCTGTGCTGTGTCCGCTCCCAATGATTTGTATCTGTTCCTACACCTCTTCAAGCACATTGCACAGCACAACCAGTGGCACAGGCATTCTGGGTAGCCTGCTGGGATGGCCAGAGAGTATGGCTATTCCTCTGGGGCAAAGGAAACACTGGGAAGGCCACGCAAGAGCAAAACAGTCACCTCAAATGCATCTTTCCCCATAAAGGTGTTTAGACTCTTATCACTCGAAATTTAGGCCTGTCAACAGCACTGGCTGTGCAGAGGGAAGGGCTTTATGTACCAAAAAGTGCTAATGTGTCATTTGGACTACCAGTTGAATTTTTCATTAGCAGTATTTTCTTTCGGGAATTCTTTAAGATCATTCTATGATACTTCAGTGGCTTTTTACTTCTTGTTTCATGTTCCACTTAACAAACTGCACCTGAATTGCAATCCCTACAAGCAGCCTCAATGCCAATAATGTTACTCTAGCAGCTGAGGTTTTAGGTTCTCAACCTACTTAAAAATAATTCATTATTAACATCTGGGAAAAAATATCACAGAGACATTTTGTGGTAGGTTACACGTAAGTGCTGCCACCAACTATGAGCATCACTGTGGCATTTTAATTTTACTAGGTAACTGGGCAGCTGTTGGGACTCACATCTCAATGGACACTTAATTAATTTCTAGAAATAGACAGTTCTGGGAATATTAACAATGTCTGTCACAGAGAGATCACAATTTCTGAAAAGTATATACCTGTTCCAAAATGGTGTTGATTCTGTCTACTTCACAGTCAATTAAGTATCTTTTTTCTTGTCGTCTGTCCATCTCCTCTATAATTCTTCTGAACTCTTGAACATCCTTTATGCTTCCTACAGATCTGGCTGTCACTTGCCAGTTGTTCTGTACTGCTGCTTCCATAATCGCCTGAAGAATAGAAAATCCTGTGGGGGAAGAGACAACGCAACCACTTAAAAAGAGAACAAACATAAAACCTATTTTGAATGTTTGACAAAGGGCTCACAAAAACTTGCATCATCTAAAGGGACACAGAAGAGCTGAGAGCCTGGAAGTGCTTCATTACTTGAGAAAGCAACAGTGTAGGGACCAGTCTCTTCTTTCAGTGATGCCACTGGCAAAGTCACTGACTTCAGCAGAATTGCCTGGTGGTATATTACCGCAAGGCATATCAGAATCTGTCCAATATATCATATTATGATCCTCTCAGGGATGTTTATGGTCGTGCTGGGGTCTGTGCCAGCTGAGAATAGGAGCCTGCAGCCATTACTTGGGCAAAAGTCCATCAGCTTGAGGAGAGGGACAGAAGAGGTGATTTGCAGACTGCAGCAATGGGTCATTAACTGGCAGAGATCCAAGCACTGCACAAGAATGCCAATTAAGTCATTGTACTGGTCATTGGAGCCACAACCACAGGAGAATATTTTACTGATACTCACTTTGATTTCAAAAAAATGCTTTTAAATATGGAGTCTAACAGCACTAACCACCCTTTCAATGCTTTCATTAAAGTAATATCAACTCATTTAGCATCCTCAAGAAGAGAGAAACAGCACAGGATGACTGAAGACTGCGCAGTGGGAAATTATACAGGCAAGCAGCATTTAATTTCTTGCGAACAGCCGTGCCTCAGCAACAGGCAGAACTAAGTCCCTAAGTGAACGGCAGTGGAACTGGGAATGGAATCTCCTTCAAGTCATGCTATGTAGGAGTTATCAGACATCGATATGCAACCCTTTATTATAGTATGTAGATGGGAATTTGGTGCATTACCTGTTTTGATTCAGGACATTTAATTTTGTGCATAATTCTAATCATTTCAACTCTGAGCAGATGCCAGTCAAAGAGAGAGGTCACCTACTTCAAGCACACAGTGGTTTTCAGTGGAGTTTTATTGTTCAGAAGCACATCCATGTAGCTGTTTCTGTCCAGATAATTGATTTCCAAAACTTTCAGTCCAGTTATTTAGTCATACTGTGGATTTCTTACCCACAGCCAGATTTGAAAAGCCTCCATGCAGGCACATAAACACAGAGGATCAACAACTCATTAACTGTGCTCTGTGATAACCAGTTCCCTACACTTCTGAAACTGAAAGGAGTTTGAGCTACAGAGGAGCAACAATTCACTGCTGCAAATTACACCAAGAGCTATTCTGAACTCAAACACCCTTGTCGGGGTACGGCAACAACAAAGAACTTGTGCTGCCTGATCTTCCGTAGCCTGCTGTAAATCTGTGGTGGCTGTTTGAAGCCAGAGGAGCTGCATCATTACCTCATTACAGACACAAACAAGGAAAGAGTGATTTTCTGGATTGCAATTAGATTATTATAATTTACCTTGTGACTTCCTTAAGTCTCACTCAAATGCCCTCACTTTCCCCGTGCAGCCTCCTTGATTCTTTGTAAGAATTTCCTTTGTAAGAATGCGCTTTACTATCCCATGAAAGGTGGTGACAATTAATATGTACGCTCGTTTAGAATTCTTTCTGGCATCTTCTTTCCTTTGAGACTATTGAAAGAGAGGCATTTACATATGTATAGTACAATGAACTCAGTCTTCCTTAACATCATATTTTACAAAACTGGTTGTGATGTCTGTGACAGCATTGTGATTCCACTACGTGTAGGAGGAAGATCTAAGCCTACGATACTTTGTTGGCTGCAAACGAGGAATTTTTATGTGGGAACATAAAAACCACTAATGGGGATTTACAAATGCTTTGTGTACAAAGACATGCTTTTAAAAAAAATACGATTCCACCAAGTAATAAATATTTACAACTTTGTTTCATCATTCATATAATGTCTAAGTATGAACCTTGAGCTTGCTGTAAACAACAAAGTTAGTAAGTCCAATTTTTTTTACTCCAAATTGAACAAATTGGTTCAACATATTATTAAAGAATGACACTTTAGCTCTATTTTTTGCTATGACACATACAAAAGTCATGAACTGTCTCAAAGAAAGAAGGAAAATGAACATGCTGGAGTGCAGATGCTATCGGTTGACTGCCACACTCCCTGTTTCAGATAACACTGAGTCAGAACTTGCTTTATCAAACCTTGAATATCTCAGAAGAAAGTTAGGCAATTTTCCTAATTTTGTGCAATTACATGTTTATGTGGGTGTGAGTGTGTGTGTATTTTTGTATGTGTGTGTATTAGTCAGTGGTTACCATTTCAAGAGAAAGAAGAGCGATGTTACTCAGCAGCCTTTCTCCTATACATGAAAATACAGTTACAGTAAACTTACTGTGAAAAGTTTCAGAGCCTCATAATTTCTGTGTTCTCCACCTCCTCCTTCTTGTCACATCAAGTCTTTATAGTCACAGTCCCCTCTACCCTTGCCAGTTCTTGACATTCTCCCTGTGGTCACTGTCTGTGCTGTGCCAGCTCCTGTCTCTCAGGCCCTCTCCCTCTCCCATCCTTGCTTTGAGAAGAACCATTTGCCTTTCCTGTGGCAGCTCGTTAGGCCAGTCCTCTGATGACCTTTACAGAGCCCATTCCCCTTGCTTTACAAAAGCCTGGTTCCAACCTTCTGCTTTCAGGAAGGCAGCACTCACATCCTCGCTGTTCCCAGCCTCCGGTCTCTCTCCATGCCTACTGCCTTCAGTGCCATTTACTGCACTTTACATCGTTCCCCATTACGTGTCATTTCTGTAAACAACATGTTCCAGGCTCCAGCTGTACTTTACCATTAAAAGAGCTGTTACATAAGCGGTGTGATTGTTTAAATAAAAGGACCATTTTATCTTCAAATGTGAACTTTCCTTTCTCCTTAGCATAACAATGCAAGCTGTGCCGGTTCAGGAGCACTGCCTGGGTAATGAACGGGGAAATTATTTTCCCTGTTCTGCACATGTTGGTGACCAGGCTAGTACACTGCACTTTTCCACACCCTGCCCTCAGTGAACACACCAGTGAATGCTTCACAAGAGATGCTCTCCCCTGGAAGTGTGGAACTCTTACAGGTACCTCTCACCTCATTCCCCCTAAAGGAGACCAGCCAGCCATGGCCACTATCTCCAGTCTGTAGTTCTTCTTTGGTGTGCATCAGACCTACTCTGAAAGACTAAGAAGTGATAATTCATCACAGGTCTGTGAAGAGGTCATGCAGGAAAGGCTTTCATTGATACTGTCAACCAATAAAGCCAAAAAATATTAGTTAAGACAAGAAAAACTGTCATCCTTCTAGAAGATGACAGCAATGA